GAGTCTTCTTAAGGCTCAACTAAACATTCAGACTCACAAGACAGTCAGGTACAGGGAGAAGATCCATACTGGGCAGAAGGGGGAATCACCCTGGTGTAGAAGCCCCATCCACCACAGGAGCCAATATCTCTATTAGCAACTCCATAGGCATAGTTTCTAGGATCTCTACAAGGGACAGTGATAAGATTACTGCATTCAGTAATGGTTTCCTATTAGGTATGTATAATTCTCCCTCTCCAGATGCAATTTAACAATCAAGTTATTTTTACCATAACCAACAATGCCAAGTAACAAACACCATTTTTAATTGTTTCTTGGGAAACAGAGCTAGAATTAACCAAAGGTCAGAGTCTCACCAAAGAGGAAAGGGCTTAATGCTGTACCCCTACGCATCATATCTGCTATAAAACAAAAATGGAGAAAGTTTTGTTTTTTCCTGACTTTTAAAAATCACAATTGCCTTCAACAAAAGATAGTTTTGGAAATATAAGTGTATCTGAGGGGAACAAGACTGTTTTACTACGTGACAGCTGGAGCACATGGTTTATGTACAATATGGTGTGATTTTTTTTTTCTTTGCTATCTTCCTCCTTCTAATATTACTTCCCTGACTCAACCTATGTCAGAATGTGACAAATTGTTCTAGAAAACAATTGGTTCTCTCCTTCCTACTCTGTAACTCAACAGTCAACAACATACTTCAAGTATACTTATCCTATAGATAAGAGAGACAGACATAGCTAGGACACAAAAAGGAAAATTTTTTAAATTTAAAAGTTACCTGTGATATTAGTAAACACATCTGCCAGACCACTCTTACAATAAATAAGAGAAACAGGAAAATCCTAGAAGCCCTCAGTATCATGAGGTCTTTCAAATCTCACGCAAAGGGAGAAAAAACACACAAGCGGGAGAGAAATAATTCTCTCACAGAGGCGATATGGTTTGAATGCTGACTCTACCACTGTTACCTTGAGTAAATTATTACTCTTCTTGAACCTCAGTTTTCACATCTTTAGAATGGGGATAATTGTAGCTCTCAGCTCCTAGGGTTGAGCTGAAAAGTAAATGGGATAAAGCATGAAAGTGCTTAGCATAGCACCTAGCCCAGATCAAGCTACTTTGCTTATTATTGTTCTTGCTGTCATTATTATAAAAAACACTCAGAGTTTCCACTACCAACTACTGCTTTTGATTCCCAAATCTGCATTCCCCAGTCCATACCTCTAACCTCAGCTCTGGACTTATATCTCCATCAGCCATCATTTCCACTTGGGTCAAAATATCAAATTCATCACAGCCCACATAAATACTCCTTCCTGTATTCCCAACAGGAAATGCCTCTAGAATCCCTTGTTAGCCCAAGTCAAACACCTAGACTCTTCCTAGACTCCTCCTTCTCCACTCCTCTGTAATCCAATCCAAGTGTCCTATCCACACGAATGCGTAAATCCCTCTGGAATCTTTCTCCTTTCCTTTCTAAGGATCACTACCTTGGCTCATGTCCTCACTACTTCCTGCCTGGACGATTGTCATAGCCTCTCTGGTCTCTGCTTCTTGCAGGCTTACCCAAATGCAATCCAGAGTGATTTTCCTATAACGAAAACCCAACTATGTCATTTCCGGGTTAAAAATCAATCCTTCAGTGATGCCTCAGAGCTTTTAGGAGAAAGTCCCAAAAGCAAGCATATATGGTTGCTGCATACTTCTCTAACTTCCTCTTTGCCACCACTCCCCTAACTGGTCATCTCAAACATTTTTGATTTTACACCCTTATCAATTAAAAAAAAAAAAAGAGCATGCACTGCCAATAAATGCATATTTATTTTAATTATATACACATACAAATATAATAATAAAACACATATTACAAAATAAATTTACCAAATAGAAATCTTTATAGGGTGAGAAAAACAAAAGAACATAAGGGAAGTGCTCATATTTTCTCTGAGCATCCCAATGATTTGTGTACCTTTCCTTCAACTCCCACTGCCTATAACTTCAGTCTCACTGTATTACCTGTAGGTCGCTGCATCAGTTCTCTGATGTCATTGTGCTTTTATATATATCTTATGATTCTCTCTGCCTAGAACAGTCATTCATTCATCTGGCCATTGTCCTTCTTCCTTCCTCCTTTCCATTCTTTCTTATCCCTGCCCCACACCCAACTCTACCTGGCTACCCTCTTTGTATTTGGTAAAACTCAGCTTAAGTGTCAGCAACACAGAAAGATTTCCCTGATCCTATTACCTACCACTCAGATGGCATGGGACTCCAAGTTATTCTATCAAAGGACACTGATAGAGACAGTAAAAAGAATGAATTTCAGGAGGTCACCACTTGGGAAAAGAAGTATTTGGCCTTATGAGAAAGCTAGCCAAGTAAGACTGCCCAGGAGGTGGTGCAGCTGTACATTCTTTGGCCTGCTTTTATGACAAAGATGCAAATGATCAACAAGCAAGTTGACTTTCCAGCACTGCTGCTCTCTTCTTTCCAAACCAGGCCATCATCACTTATCTCACCTGCTGGAAGAGCCTTTTAGGTGTCCTCATCACCTCCAGGCTTGGATCCCTCCAATCTACCCTATGGAATGTTTTGAAACTCCGAATGGTTCCCCACTACCTATATAAAATCCATCTTTCTTAGATGTGACTTGCAAAGCTCTCTCCATGACTTGGCTCCAACCTACCATTCCAGTCTTCTCCACCACTGCTCCACTGCTTAGATAACCTGAACTTCAACCCAAAACACAGAGGTCACCTCTCCAGAACATCTGGAGAACACCCCGCACTGCATCTTTTAGCCATCTCACCACATTTTTTTAGATGGTTCCTCCGCCTAGACTGCCCTCCCATATGACTCCGTCTCCCATGTGGTATTGGAATCCTATCCATCTTTCCAGGCGTGGGCCCACCCCCACCTTCTGCTTGATGCACTCCCTGATCCCCACACTTGAAATACAACCTTGAATTGTATCACTTTTCATAGTTTAGGAAACATGGATACAATTTTATCCTCATAATAACTCTCCTTATGCTGCTTTTACAAACTCAGCCCAAGTGCCCTGCTAAGATCACTGAAGCCAATGACAGAACTGGGGATTCAAATGCAGGTCTTCAGGCTCCAAACACCCTGTGCATACACCATACCACAGATGTTACCGTTGAAAATCTCCACCTCTTGTGCTCCCAAGGTGCTTTGTAATTTCAATAGCACATTAATCCCAGTTCCATCTTAGGTTAGAGTTGGTGTATGTTGGGTGAGGGGATCTCATCTTGTTCATTCCAGTATTCCCAAAACGTACCATTCTTTACACATAGCAGGTGATCAGTGATCAGGCTGAATTTAATTCATTCAGGATTTTTACTTTCCTTCATGTCAAGTTTCAAAATTACTGCTGGAGTCAGCACTCTAGAAGCAGGGCAGAGGCTGGGAGTGTGGCCTCCTCCCTAGCCAAGTTACTCAACACCTCCATGCCAGAGTCTCCTTATATGTAAAGTGGAGATAATAATTATGCCTTCCTCATAGGGTTGTTGTGAGGATTAAATTAAGTAATGTACTTAAAACAACCACCCAGGGCCTGGCATACTCAATATGTACCAGCTGCTATTACATATTCCATTTTATGTCCCCCAGATGATATTCTAAGGGCCAAAACTTACTGATCTCAAAAAATAATTACTCCAAATCACCAAGAGAAATTTGGACTGTGGAGTGTAAATTAAGGATGCAAGGAAGTGTATTTAATATATTTTATAAAGATCTCCCTGAAATTTTTTTTTTAATTGCCCAGTACATAAAATCCCCAGTTATCTGAGAAATTAATTTATACTGAATGACTCAACTTATATTATGTGAAATAACTAGGTAATACTATTAGAGGGAATATGAGTGAGATGAGTGTGAGAGGAAATACATATTTATTTATCTATCTATTTATTTATTCTCTCTTAACTTTGCAGTGACTAACATTTTTTCCTAAGCTAAGAACCAGGTGCTAGTCAAAGGCTTTAGCAATTAGAGGTGTCTGACTCTTCATCCTGAAGGCAAAGAAAAAGCAGGAACCAAAGCCACTGACCTCTCTAGAGGTCTGCATAAAGCACATATCCAGTCTTCAAGGAATTTAGAGATTCCCCAGTCTAAAGAATAAATACAAAGGCATCTACTGACACTGACGCGTACACTGGAACAACCCCCACCCCCAACGCCACCCCAGTGGCTGTTGTGTCTCATCTTGACAAAGCACGGAGGCACCACACCTGAGTGAGTTACACTGACTCTTAGTAGAGACATGTTAAGCAAGCTGGAGGGATGAAAGGCGTCATATGCAATAAGTCGCTCCTTTCACTGGGTCTCAGCTGCAATGAGAGGGTCGGCGAAGGAATTTCTAAGATTCCCTTAGGATCTAAGCTCCATGATTCTGTCATGTCTCCTGGGGGCCACCAGGCACAGGGAGGGCAGGAGTGCGGCCGTGAGAAACCGTAAAACCCAAGCAAAAGCGAAATTCTGGGCGCGGCTATACTCGGCAAGATCAAATTAGTTTGGAGTAGTTAAGCCTGGAGCCAGGGCAGTTGCAGAAAAATGATCCAGCCCGGGAGGGGCCGGCATGGAGAGGACTTTGGAACCTGGACTGGGAATTCTGAAGCTGTTCTCATCGGCCATGGCTATTGACCGGGGGAACTCGCACACCACTGATAGGGTATCTGACCCTGGGTTAGCCGTGGCCTCCAGTTACCGTCCCAAAATAAAAAAGTTAATGCAAGTGGGGTCACAGTCTTTGAACCAACCTGAAGAAATGGATCTTCTCACGGATCCCCCACTAGTCCCCATTAGCTCTCTTCCCTGCCAACTTCCAAGGCCGGCAGCGCTGTGGCGGTAGCCGGATGGGGTTTGAATCCAGCCCGGGCCGGACCCGGCTGAGTCCGGGGATCTGCTCCCTTCGGGGGCCCCAGCCCCGCCACGCGGGGCCCTGACGCTAGAGAACTGGGTTCCGCGCCCACCTTGGTGCTGGGGTCCGGGTCAGAGCAGCAACTGAGGGCGGCCTCGTCGCTGAGGCCGCTGGACGCGGGCTGCGGGTCTGCCATGGCCGCACTGCGGGATCACGGACGGCTCCCCGGGAACGCAGCAGCCAGCCACACTGCGCCGCGCTGCCGGGCTGCAGGGCTGCCTCGACTAGCCGCGGCGCCGGGGGCGGGCCGCCGCTGACTTCCAGCCAATCGCTGCGCGGAGAGCAAGTTGGCTCTCTGCCGATTGGGTCTCAGTGAGTCAGCGCCCCGGCCACAGGGCTCTATGTCCCAAGACTACAACTCCCAAGGTGCCTTGCGCACAAGGGAGGCACGCTTTGGCGGGGGGGGGAACCCCTGCGGACCGGAAAGTATGGTATGTCTGTGTTGCTTGGGGACCTAATTCTGTTTCTGGTTAGCTGTTAAAATTCGGTAACCATCTATACATCAGGCCTAAACTTGGTAAGAAATTGGAATCTGATGGAAAGAAAATTGGGAGTTATTCTTTTTAAATTATAAGGATCCCAAAATCTTTATTTATTTTCTCAGTTTAAGCAACACAGGACAACTAAAGCAACTCTGACTTAGTAAAAAACTTAGGTTCAAGTTTTGGGTCCACTATTTATTAGTTCTAGAAGCTGGAATAATTACTAGCCCCTCTCTGAGCTTCCTTGCAGGATTTTGGTGAGGATCAAATGAGATTGAAGTCATGGTTTCACTACCTATGATCCAAATGTCCATGACTTGCAGTGTGTTTTATGTTAATTTTGCCAAGGCACGTGTTTTAATTGTGTTCATTGGAAGACTTAGTCATCACTGTGCTCTTTGATGACTGGTACATAGTAGATGTTCAATAAGTCCTTTCTGTTGTTAGAAGACTAACTGATCATGATTGGTGTAAACATAACTTAAAAAAGGACTTTGTGTTAATGAAAGAGGAATGAGATTTGACAGAGTTTTTAAGTGGATAGGAGGGTCTGTGTAAATTAGCAACAAGAAAGATGGGTGTCAGGAATTTTGGGTGCAAGGGGTTGGGCAAAATGGGTGTTTTTTGGCTCACTTAATCAAACTGAAGCAGGGCAGGGCACCAGGCATCTAGCACCAGCACCCAGCCACCACCAAGATGTCTCCATCTCTCATCTCCACTTCTTTCTTCATCTCAGCTTCATTTTGTCAGACATACTTGCTCTAGAAACTTGGAGCTCTCAGCTGCTCAGCCTCTCACCAGAGAGGGAGTGAACCTCTTCCCCGAATTTCAGTTTGATAAAATCCAGGGAGGAGCTATGATTTGCCTAGACTAGCACCTGTGCTTACTCCTATGGTCAGGTCACTGTGACTGGCAGCCTGGATTAGAATCATTTGGTTGGAATGGGAGGCAAAGGAGTTCCCCAAAAGAAGAGAGACAGTGCTCTTGTAAGAAGAGAGAGTTGCTGGGTGAACTGAACCATAGATGTCCACTGCAAAAAGGTGGGCAGGATAAGAATTTCAACAGAAATTTTGTGCATACCTGGTACTAACTTGTTGAGGGATATTTCATCAAAACTCAATGTACTGGAACTATAGACCTTCAACATGAGCCAATTAATTACATGGCCTGGTGGAGTGTGGGCCATGTGATTAATCAAAACGAGTTAGAGATCGAGAAACGAAGTTTAGCTAGATTAGCCAGCAAATCAGAAGACAGGTGACTAATGTCTCAGAGACCCATCTTCAAAGATTACAGAATCTTGAGGCAGTTATACAGGGAAAATGGGCAGTAAGGAGGGGGTCTAGGATGGTCTCCAGGCATCACACTGTTCTATTCTTCTGTCAGCTGTGATGGAGACCTTGTCGGTGTGTTCCCTGTCTGTGGTCAGCCTGTTCCTGGAAAGAAACTCATAGAACAAAGTTTTTAACTTATCAAGCTATTAGGGAGTACATACGTAATGGAGGCCATAAATCAGGAGAGCATGTGAATTTTTTAGAGTATGTGCAGAGCAGCAAGTAGTCACACAGAGGAGGAGCTGGGGCTATTTAGTGTAACAAGATGGCCTTACTTATGCTCACTTACAATGGGATCAGGAAGTGCCTGGGAATAAACAACTCCAAATTCAGGAGCATGATTTCCTCTAAGGGGCAGTGGAGGAAGCGATAGGGGAGGGATATACTGGAGACTTAAATGTTTTGATGTTGTTTCATAATGTAAACTGGATGTTGAATAAATGGACAGTTGCTATATTATTCTTTATACCTCTCTGTATATCTTAAATATTGTATAATATACTTCTTAAAAGTTTAAAAGTAATAAACACCACATATAGAAGCAAAAGAGAAGATAGCAATAGCGGGGAGGGAGTAGTTTAGAATGGTCACTATCTGAGAAGACAAAAATTCCAAATAGATTTTAGAAGTGTTTCATTTTTTGGTAGAAGGGATATTAGTTTCCTAGAGCTGACGTAACAAATTGCCAAAAACTTGGTGGCTTAAAACAACAGAAATTTATTCTCTCACAATTCTGGAGGCTAGAAGTGTGAAATCAAGGTGTCTGCAGGGCTAGACTCCCTCCAAAGGCTTTAGGGGATATCGACTGAAATAAAGAGTCTGGGTAAAGGTTAATTAAAGGGGTCTATTTGATAATCAAGGTGAGAAATTCGAATCTCAGGAAACAGTCCAACAGAGTATTCTGAGGAACCGCTCCGAGGTCTACAGATCTGAGTACAGCTTTCATACATTTTAACAAAACAGCGTATGTGCAGGAAAGTGCTCACACATCTAATGTTCATTTATTTTAAAGATAACATAAACAAGAGCTTTTTGGTTATACATCAAACAGTGCTTGGAGTGCTGATGTCATCTATGTGTGGAGGGAGGCAAGGACCAGAGTTGTTCTTTTCCCCTTGAATATGCAGCTGTGGAAGTAGGAGCTAGATACCCTTTATCTTTTCTTGTTGCTGATTTCTCCAGCTGGCATCTTCAGTCATGAGATATGGGCTTGCAAAGTCATTTTGACACGGGCTGAAGATGGCCTGCATGGCTGCTTCACAGTACAGCGTGGATTTTTGTTGTACTGACTTGAAACCTATGCAGTTTGCTTGCTAGATTCGCCTGTTAGACCAGAGAGAGGCATCCCAAAAATCTGTCCACAGGGAGAATCCTTCCTTGCGTCTTCCAGCTTTTGGTGGCTCCCGGTGTTCCTTGGTTTGTGGCAGCATAACTCCAATCTCTGCCTTGGTCTTCACATGGCCTTCTTCTCTGTGTCTGAAATCTCTCTCTCATTTCTCTTCTAACGACACCAGTCATAGTATTGAGGGCCCACTGTAGATCCAAGATGCTCTCACTTTGAGATCCTGAACTACATCTGCAAAGACTCTATTTCCAAATAAGGTCACATTCACAGGTACCAGGAGTTAAGACTTGGACATACTTTGGGGGAACACAATTCAACCTACCGCAGGGGGCATATATATGTTTTTTCCTTTTTGTTAGTAAAATTAAAATTAGGAAATCTATTCAGGGTATGTTTAAAACGTTTTTGTTGTTAACTTTCCTTAATGAACATCATTTTATTAGTTGCCTAGGTTCCTATTGTCAAGTGTTTTAGATTTCTGCATTGACAGTCTTTTTCTTTTTTTACCAAATAGAATGGACAATTAAACAGGGTATACATGTGCTGTTTCAGCCATAAACCAATAATCCTGAAAGCAAAGCTCGAGAGAATGAACTGTGGATAGTTATTCAATATTTATATATATTTTACTTGAATGACTGGTTACCTAAATTGTTATTTGATAATATGATCATGTGGCTATGTTAGGACAAGTATAACATGACAAATATTGATTATCTGTGTACTTTAATTACATATTCCCTACAACATCTAGACATTTCCAGTTGGTTGTCTTGACATTTTTATTTCTGTCAATAGTATCATCTTTCTATCAGTTGATGAGACTTGAAACCAAACTCATTATGGAGTTATAGATTTTTGGAACAGGAAGGGAATTTAGATAGCATCTCATCTCCCACATTTTCTTTTACAAAGGAGGACACCCAGGACTAGAGCGGTTTCACGATCTGAGTTTCACAGGTAATTAGTTGAGTTAATGAGCACTCCCAGGACTAAAACTCAGGTCCCCTGGTTACCACTTCGGTATTTTTTTTTCTTTAATTCATAGACTAGTACTAATACTACTACTACGAACAACTAGCATTGATTAAGCCATTATCACGTATGACTGCACTAAGTGTTTTTATACACATTCTCTCATTGTATTTTCAGTGATATTTAATTCTTAGGGTCTTGAGCAATCTAACCACTTAATGTTTTATATAGATTATATACTACATGATGTTTTCTTTCTATTAAGCCTCAAGAGAACTCTGTGGAAGGTGTACTTTCCTCATCTCTCAGGCATCCTCAGGAGCGCTATTGCAGACAGGTTTTTGGGACCCCTCTCCCTGGTCTAACAGGCGAATCTAGCAAGCAAACTGCATAGGCTTTAAGTCAGTACAATAAGAATCCACGTTGTACTGTGAAGCAGCCGTGCAGGCCATCTTCAGCCCGTGTCAAAATGGCCTTGCAACCTCGTACCTCATGACGGAAGACGCCAGCTGGAGAAATCAGCAACAGGAAAAGATAAAGGGTATCTAGCTCCTACGTCCGCAGCTGCATTTCTTGGAGATTGAGGGATAAAATAACCACCTTGGCTCTTGCTTCCCTCCTCACATAGATATCATCAGCATCTCTGAACTTGTTTGATGTATAACCAAGGAATTCTTGTTTGTGTTACCTTTAATGTATAATCTAGAGAAAAACCAGATGTACCCTATCCCTTTTTTGACATAGATAAAATCTAGTTGTAAGTTTTTTTGCCTCTTCCCTGCATGTACACTGTTTTGTAAAACACACACCTTGGAGTGGTTCCTCAGAATACTCTGTTGGACTGCTTCCTGAGATTCGAATTCCTCATCTTAATTATTAAATAGACTCCTTTAATTAACCTTCACCCAGACTCTTTATTTCAGTCGACAATATCATTTGGCAGTATTCCATGAGCATAGTTTTCTGCCAGAGTTAATGAAACTATTGCATAGATCACGGTGCCATGAACCATGGCCATAAGTGTCAAAAATAGAAGATGAGACAAAAATGGACCAGAGAGAGACCCTTTATTACTCACA